CATTGCTGTGCTTTCCCTTAAACGCCCCTTTTGGTGCCTCGTTGTAACGCCGATGAGTAAAAAAAAAGAAGTGGTGAAAAGTGGGAGCTGATCGGTGTTGATAACTCCCAGTGGTGGTGGGTGCGTGATGGTATTAGTGCCTAGTCATCGCCGTAGGCGGGCTGGTAACGGCAGGCGGCGGAGTCGAAGAAGACGTGGAGCCGGTAGCTGTGCCGTAATCCGGAGGCAGAGAGCCACGGCCGACGCCTGCTGTGCCGCCGATGGGCGGGGGCGGAGGCATGGCACCTCTCGCGGTGTGCTCGACGTGGTGTGCCATCTCGAAGCTACCCTCACGAGCGTAAGCCTGACCCGGCTTCGCCTTGGGCTCATAGGCTGGAGGGGCTTCACCGAACTCGTCCAGGCCCTCATCGCTACGAGTGGTCCAGGCCCAGCGGCCGTTTCTCGACGACCGCTGACCTCTTTGGCGATTCGCTTCTAAGTCGCGGCGGGGCCAGGGACGTTGCAGGCCGAGCTTCCGGAGACGGCGGCGGCGTTGAAATTGAACAAGAGTTGCGATGATGCCGAGGGCGAGGAAGACGATGAGCGGCGTGAGAATCCAAGTGTAAGGCATGTTGGAGAGCGAGTATGAGCTGCCCGTACTGCCGAGGGAACCATCAGAAGAAGACATGATGGAGGTTGGTGGTTGGTAAAGCGAATGAGGGGTTGGCTGAGTAGAAGAGAGCGAATGACCAGAGATCGTCGAGCTCGGAGATCCGCGATTGGAGGTTCAAGTAGGCGTGGCAGGAGCGATGACTGCCAATCGATGGGTTTTGTGGTGAACGAGAGTTTTTTTTTTCTTCTTTCGCTCGATATGCCGAGATGACTTTGCGTCGTTGACTATTCTTGGGACCGAAGGGAAGGATCCTTGGCGCCGTATTGAACGGAACTACAAAGGCGTAGATGTCGAAACAGGGAAATAGTCGAGGCAGCTATGGTGGTGCAAGGGCGAGACGTTGGTCTTTCACGTCATCATAGCGTGGCTCAGATTTGGCGGGAATTCGCTAGTGCTGTCTCGATCCAGCAAGCTTTTTGACAGCTGGTGAGCCTATGGCAGGTGCGGTGGAGCGGATTGAACGGAACAAGCTGCAGGAGCCAGGCCGGGAGATACGGGAAGGTGACGAGCTGGTAGGAAGACGTGGAGGCTGGACTCGAGAAGTTCGGGGAGATCGGGCGCTTGATGGGTTGGTGGTTGACGCAAGCAAGGAGGGAGCTTGCGGGTTATGATGATCTAATGGGGTTCGTATCGCCACTGGTTGGTGGATAAGTCGGGTCCAATTGTTTTCTTGTCTTGATTACAGGTCGCCGGGGGAATGCAGATCGTTGCAGCACTGTCGATGTCTGAAGAGAGATCGATTGGTTGGAAGTTTGACGTTCAAGGGAGGGAGAGACAGCGTAACAAAAGATTGGAAAGAAAAGAAAGGCAAAGCAGAGCGAAAGTTGAAGGGAGAGAAGAGTGTTTTCTGAGAAGAAATGGTGGCGGGGGGAGATATTGGATATTTGGCTGTAAAATGCCAAACACGACTCAATAGCGGAGTAGGTGAAAGTGGGAATTCCAGCAGTGCAGGGGCTGGAAGGAAGGACCCGAGAAATGAAGCAACGCGGGCGGGCAAGGCAGGCTGGCTGGATGTCCAAATGCGTGGTGGTGTCGTGGTGGTGAGGCCGGGAAATGGCTGGTGTTCCAAGGTTAGGTTGGGCTTATTCTGTAGGGCGAGACAGGGTTGGCCAGGTAGTGTATGCGTACGGAGTGCCTAGGAGGGTTTAGGATGTGCGATTTTCGTATCCGATAGCTCGCGGATACAAGGTCGGAGGGAAGCTACTTTTAATTAAAGAACGGTAGCCAGGCACAGGAGGGCCGAGGAGGAGTAGGCTAACGATGCCCTGGGAATGGATAAAAAAGACGAGACGGCGATGGGCCTAGGGCGCAAGAGGAATGGCCGACGACCTCGGGAACGGCGTGCGAATGCGGACGGCTCCCGTGTGCGATTGCGAAGGGTGCGTTACTGGCGGCTGCACTGCATAAAAAGGTAAAACCAGACAGGATAACCAAGGGTTTAGGACTTCAAGAGACGACAGCCGAGGGATAAAGATGGGGTGAAAAGAAGAGGGAGGGAGGGAGCAGATGGGAGGATGTATTTGGGACGAAGGGATGCGACGGCTGGACTCTATTGATGAGCTACAGATTCACCGTTCACGATGCTATGTGCGTATATCCGTAAGCTATGACTACGGATGCTTTCGTAGTGGCCGCGCAAATATTTGCACGTCAAGTGTCAAGTGTAGTGTCGAGGGTGATTACATGCAGCTGGTGAGGATAATTTACTCCGTAACCAGTGGACAGCTGCATGTGCAATACCAAATGTGGACGCGTGAACCAGCGTTGCATCTCCTCTGGAGAACGGGGGCTGCGACGACGAGGAGCCAGTCAAGCAAGTCAAGATTTCAACCCCCCGTCAAACAGGAGGCACCCCTGACGACGCGATGCCAATCCTTAGGGGCAGTCTTGGCTACTTTTTTGGGGATCGCACGTCATGAGCAACATGGTCGCAGTATCGTGTTGAGCAGGGCAACGTCTGCATCGATTGTTGAAGAGATGAACGTGTCCACCGGCCGAGTGCGAAACGGCGAAACAGAGAAACATACCTTAGGTAAGGAAGGTGTGTGTAGAGTCGCTCTTGCATCTGACGGGCACGGATACGTCGGCTGCTTACGTGTTCTGCCATTGCGAAGGCATTCGTACCTTCCTCGGGCCCTTCACATCTTGCAGTTGGATGCTTGCAGGACCTGGAAGTTTGGCATCCCAGGACGAGATTCGGGACAGGTACCTCTTCTGCCCGCCCTGCATGGCGGCTCTGTGAGGTACCCACATCCGAGGTTCTCCGTCTCCTCCCAGGTGCAGCAGCTGGTGCATCCCGTCGGACTTGGCTTTCCCACTTTCCCTTCCTCGGGCGCCTTCCTTCAGCGTGCTGCGTCGGCCAAAATAAGGAAACTCTCACAATCTCCATCGTGACTCGCTGACACCTCGCACATCGCGGCTGTTTCAGAGACTCCTCGCTTCGTTCCAAATCGCATATCCTACCGCATGTCAAACGGAAAGCCAAAAAAGAAAGAAAAAGAGAAAAAAAATCTAAACTTTTGCAAACAATTATGCAAACACAAACACATGCAGGAGTTCCTCTACCTTATTGGCATTATTTCAAGAGTCCGTAAACATCCGTTCGACTGGGATGGGGGCGGCCGCAGCCCACAGCCCGCAGGCTCAAATCCAGTTCGACCGACTCGCACTCGGGAATTTTATTGTGCGTAGACAGTTGAGGGACAAACAGACCACACAGCAAACGCAGTCACGATACCTTGTCTTGCCTGCGACCCGAAGCTTCAAGTCTCTTCATTAAACTCGCCTCGGTATTTCCGTTTGGGAAATGTGTATTAGAGTGGCCAGGTTGAGCCCAGTTGACCGTTGAGCATTCGATGAGGAAAAGGCTCTCGATTGACGGCGAGCTGCAGCTTACAGTCAGTCACTGGATGCAAAATTTGCAAAGCATACTCGGCCAACAGTCAGCTCCTGCATTCCAGGAATCAGTTGTCCTCTTTGTCAATTCCAAAAGACTTTGTCTGGCGACTCGCAAGAAAATCTGTCAAAGTCAAGTTTTTGATTGCTTCTGTTCACGCGACCCTAGAGAAAAGAGGGTTCAGATGAGGTGTCAAGGGTCCGGACAGGGGTGCTTAAATTGGCCCTTGCACATCAGGACCGGATGGAGAGCTTGACTTGGATTTGACCACTGTTTAACTCCATCGTTTTGTATTACTAAAGGATTACCGCAGTACATATAGATACTACCCTGCCCTCAAATTCCGCACTATTTAACCTTAACCCTTTTTTTACTTATTCTTTTTTCTATTTTACCCTCTCCCTCGTTAAGGGATCGTTAGAATTATAATTTTAATAACTTATTAATAAGTTAGTATTATTATTTAAAAATAAGTAATTTATTCTTATATATAAATACTAAAAATCTTATTATTATAAAAATAATAATAAATATATTAGAGTATTTAAAAGAGCTTTTTAATAAATTTTTAATACTATTTAAAGTAATTATTTTTAAATTATAAAAAAAAACCGAGGTACTATATTAATACGGCCCTATTTATTTTATTAATATTAATAATACCCTTTTTAATATAGGATATATTAATAATACTTTATAACTACGTTACTATACTTTATAAATCGTATTTAATATTAATAAAGCTTTTAATATTATTTACTAAGTTTTTTATTAAAGTTATTATTATAGGGTTAGTTTAGTTATTAATATCTTAATAAGTATTTTAACTTAATTTAGAAGCTTTTATAGCTCTTAAGGAGAGGTTTTTAAGGGATTTATAATTAGACTTTTTATTTATTATAAGCGAAGCTATTATAATTAAAGCTATAATAATTAAAGTTATAATAATTAAAGCTATAATAATTAAAGCTATAGCGTTATTTATAAACCTCGATAGTAAGTAGTTAATAATATAATTATCTTTTTTTTATAGTAAGCTTAAAAAAGTATTTTAATTTAAGTACTAAGTAGGTACTATACTATTTTATTAAAACTGTATTCTTATACTTGTGACTTAAAAAGAATTAACTTTTTTTGATAATAAGGTACTTAGACTTGGATTCGACGGCCTGAGGCTGCTGTGAGGCAAGCACACTAGTGGATTCTGGGCAAACTAGGCACCAAAAGCAAGACACCTGGTTGGTCGACCAGTGCCCCACTTGTTCTCTTCCAAATGTCATCGCCAACTCCAGGCAACTCATCGTCACTGCTTCGTCCACCTCATCAGCGAAGCAGGTAATTACGGATACCTTACGTTAGGCCCGCTTCAACCCAGATATGTGTGAATAGCGTCACTGCGTCCGCACATAACTCACTTCACCCCTTGCTTACCTCGCCAACGAAACCGCCAGGATGCCCCGCGCCATCAGAGGTAAGATGTCTCCCACCACATGCTTGCCCTCTCTGCCCAGCCGCCCTTCCCCAGATATTCCCCTGGCCTACTAACATTCCCGCCCCGCCTTTCCAGGAGTACTCATCGAGTGCGACCCCTCCATCAAGTCCATCATCGTCAATATCGACTCCAACAACCACGACTACATCATTGAGGATCTCGACGACCAGCACGTCGTTGTCAAGGAGAACATGGTTGGTTTGCTCAAGAGACAGCTTGATGAGGTTAGTGACCCCTTTTATTGTTCTACATACACACAAATATATCATATGTGTATATATCAGATACGGCATTGACACACATAACTTGCAGAGGTTAAAAGAGACCCAGCAGCCCGATGAGAGTTCAGACTCTGATTGAGCGCCCACGGAGTCGGTGTATCAATTGTCTTTATTGTACATGCCTTCATTTGCTTCCGACTGCTCTTCCACTGTGTCCTAGAGACAATCGTCTCCAAAATTCTGGCTGCCATGTGCCTATCGCTGTGCTTTTCGCCGCCGCAGCAGCATTCTGTCATGTCATCTTGACTATCATGACGCGTGTATAATGTATGGTTTGTAGGAGGGGATCACGATCCGTCCCCTGACCCGGGAATGTCTATAGGAATGGAATCCAAATTGCCTCACACGAGGCTGCATCATTGTGGCAGTCCCACAAAAGGGAAGGGTTGACACACGTTTGTCTACCTAAAGGGAGCTGACTAGAGCTTCTCAAAAGTAGGCTTCTTCTTCTGCAACCCGGACATCAGGGCAGTCTTGGTATCGCTTGATTGAAGCATGGCAGCGTTCCAAATAGTAGTGTACCGCAAGTCTAGAGCCACACAGTCAGCAAAGTCAATGAAGAAACAAAGCCCAATTCAGGGTAATGGAGAATATAAATGGGCATAGCCATTTCCCAAAATGGAATGTTAACTTACTCTCCGCAACAGAGTGATCTCTCGCATGGTTCAACAGCTCCTTGGTACCCTGCACCGCAACAGGACTCTTGCTGGCGACGAACTCGGCCCACTTCGTTCCCGCAGCGACGGCCGCGTCCTTGGAGTCGTGCACCTGGCTGACGAAGCCCACGGCGAGCGCCTCGTCGGCCGAGAAGTCCCGCGCCGAGAGGCAGACGTCTTTCACCCACGACGTGGACCCGACGAGCTTGGGCAGCCGGCTGAGAGTGCCGAGGTCGGCGGCGAGGCCGATGTCGACTTCTTTTACGGCGAAGCGGGTGTTGCGCGCGGCGATGCGTACGTCGGCGCAGCATGAGATGTCGATGGCGATGCCGATTGAGATTCCGTGGAGGACGCAGACGACGGCTGGGGGGTGAGTGTTAGCTCAAATGTTTTATCGTTCTCAGGGACTGGTGTGGATTTGGATTTGGGTATTATGAAGCATGTCCACGTTCATATTGAGAACCATCAAGGCCATATCAAAAACGAGCAGAAGGAGAAACCTTGCGCCATAAAAGTACAACTCAGAGTTTCAAACACAATAAATAGAAAGGTTACATACGCTTCTCACACTTCTCCATGGCAGCGATAGCATCCTGGAACTCGGTAATGTGGCGGCGCATGTTCGTCGCGTAGCGGGCCGGGTCGCCGCCGAGGTCCGCGCCGAGGGGGCTGTTGACGGCGTCCTGGACGTCGAGGCCGGCGGAGAAAGCGCGGTCACCGGCGCCGGAGAGGACGACTGCGCGGACGTCCGGGTCATGGCTGAGGCGGTCAAAGACGGTGGCGAACTCGCGCCATACGGGCTCTGAGAAGGCGTTGAGCTTCTGCGGGCGGTTGATTTCGACGTGGGCTACGAAGGGGGAAGGGGAGGTGACGAGGAAGTGGGTGTAGGTGTAGTCTTTGAAGGGTGCCATTGTGTTGTTTGTTTGTATGTAGTCCTATGTATGTGTGAGGTGAGGTGAGTGAGCGGAAGGGTTTGCCTTTGGTGAGGTTTTCGTGGTGTGAGGGGTGAGGCGGAGAGCTGGATGAGACTACCAATGTGAAGATGTTCAAATCAAGGTACGCAAATGGCCAGGGTGGTTATGTGAGTATGCCTGAGTTCGTAACCCGGCGATGCTTGGGATGAGCGTGGTAGAGTTGAAAGCGAATCTCACTCAAATGTACAGGTGACAGGATGTTGCGAGTGCGATGATGAAGTCTCGAAGAGGCTGACTGGACGGGGGGCTGGCCGAGTTGCCGAGGCACGTCTCGCAGGCGTTTTCCCCGACCCGACCGAGGGGTGGCCCCGCCTGATCTGGGGTAAACGCTACACACGCCGGGGTGGGGTTATTGATTGCACTTTTTTTTTTTTTTTTTTTTTGCTTCTGACAACACACAGTGATCTTATGTAATGAATACATTCCGAGGTCTCTTGCTGTTCGAGGCGGGATCTCAACTCGGGTGTCAATGGATCTTTTGATTTAGGTGAATGGTTTCATTCGGAGCGAATTCCTGGATGTATGGGTCTTCCCTATATCTCGGCTTCGAAACATCGGCTGTGCTCAATCGGCCTTCTCGAGGCGATGAGCGTCGCGCCCTCTAGAACGAGAAGACTTCGCCCATCATTTGATCTGATTATCAAGTCATAGTTGGTTTGTGGCTCTCGGCTCATTCTACCAACAAGTCTCGTTGTCCAATCTGCGCGGCTGACTTCACCTTTCGGGCTCAGCTAAAGGAGGTTGCTGGGCATCTCTTAACCAGAAATCAAGCTTCGTTAGATTCCATTGCGTTGCATCATCCTCGAACTGATCTGCTAGGATGAATAAAAGACGTGAACAAGTCAACCCGCAGTCATCAACCATGCTAGTGCTTTCTAGGGGTGCCAAACTGCCTCAGCCCCTCACCAAGTCGGCTCGCACTACATCACTGGGTGGGAGTTCTGGCCGGATGACTCACGCTGCAACCCCAAACACCAATAGCTTGGCGTTTTATGGGATGTACACAACAATATTCGAGGCCGTCTCCTCACATCGATGGGCTTGATAAGAGTCCTCGTGTTGGAATATGGAAATGAAGAGGGAGGTTGGACAAAGTACTAGAGCAAAGTCTCGAGGAAATGATTACTTACACAAGCTTTGCTATATGCTGCTTTTTCAATACTAGTAAGGCTTATGCCGAGCCTTGAGTGTTCTTTGAAGCAGAACCTGAAGACAAGTCAGCGACCAGTCTCCTTTACAGCCATGTCCTAAGTAGTACAGAGTCTGGATATCCAGGAAATCAGATTAGAGGCGAAACCGGTGCCATAGACGATATCCTCATTGTAAGTTCAGTACGGCGAGTGAATATCCATTATCATCATCTCTTGGAGTATCTCATGTATGGTAAGGGAACGGGGCTCACTAACCTTTCTCAATAACTTCTTCGATGGACTCATTGCTGTGCCCCTCGTAATTTTCATGTCAAAGGTGCGCTGCGAAGGCGTTTTATATAAGTGACTATCCATGTGGCTACATCACAAGCTCTCCCGGTTGATTTGAGGTATCGCCAGTAAACTAAGACTTGAATAGTTGGTGGAGGGTCGGATCCGGGAGCCAAGGGGCTCGCCGTATGAGTCAACCGGTCAACGAACCAATGCTCGTCTGTCCAAGCAAGGCTATCCCACGTCTATTGTTGCCATCAGAGGTTGCGAGATGACAATCACCGAGCACCTTCATCATCGGGTGAAAACGTAGTGCATGATCAACAACAGCATACATGTATTGTATCAGCGGAACACAACAGCAGAACGCAATGAGGGTTGTTATCCTAATGTATCCATGTACTTTCAATCTCCAGAAAAGCATACATGTACTTCATTGACGTCCAGATCTTTGGAGCAAGATAGGTACCTAGTACAGCATGATTCAAACGCTGGGGATGGAAGGTACGGTTCAACAGGTACCCCCTCCTCGTCTTCAGATTGTCATCATTTTTACTTGGCGGAAGGAGCATACCCGACCAAATTTCGGTGCTTGCAGAAGGCACAAGGAAGAGTGACAATGACTACATGCGCTGTCAATAGATCGGCCCTCCGATTTTGTCGTCAGCACCATTATCCTCTCGACAACCTCCCCAGTTCCTTGACCTCCTATCAAAAGGAACTTCCCTAGAATCACGCCACCCTCCACACGGAGGATTTATCATTACTGCGCTTATCAAATACTCATGCATCCCGTTTTTTGAACTTCATGTCTAAAGCCACAAGGACTCGGTCTCTGACGCCACCAACCGAAGTCCAGCGGCTGACGGACCCCAGAACGTCGACTTACAAGCAAACGGCTCTGCGACGCTACAATTCCGCAGAAAAGCTTGGCAGCAGACCTCGTAGTGTCAGTTCTCGATCTTCAGATTCGCCGCCGACCACTTTCCGACTCGGTTTCTGCTGCCCCTCACAGGCCGAGCTTGCACTGAATCCCAAACCAAAGGAGGAGAAGCCTGCGATGTTATCCAACTTCTTCCATCCGACCAAAGATATCGTACATCGAAATCGAGAGCCATCCAACGCAACCAGAGGAGACTTCGAGGACACACCTCTTCCTAGCGCTCGACCTTCTATGATGGACATATCCCTGAAGAAAACCGAAAAGGACGTCGCTTCAAGCTTTTCTTCGGCGAAAAGTTTTACATTTCGACATGCACTCCTCAAGACCGCTTCCGGGCGCCCCTTGTTGGTTGACAAAGATTTACCCGTGCCCCCGGTCCTTAGTCGACAAGTCAGCGAAAGCCAATTGCAGAACCCGCGAGAAGACATAAAAAGCTTTGAGAACAAGGCAAAGATTGCCATTCCATCGAGAAAGTACTCGCCTTCCCAGATGCAAGACAATCCTGTACCTACTGTCAGTCAACGTCTCATGGAGACCACGACCAACGTCGACCCTTACTTTCCCCGGGAAACCATCTGCGTTGATCCTCTGATCCATCCGGATGAGTCACATACTAAGGTTCATCACCGTGGTATTCTCAAAGGTGCTGACTTCTGCGACACCGGTGTGCCTGGACAACCTGTTCCACAGCAACTTGAGAACAGGACGTCTAGCTCTTCTTCTTCTTCTTCTTCGTCATCTCCCTCTTCGGAGGCTGAAATTGTTCTTGCCAAGGTGCGCAGAGCTATGACTGGAGATGATCTTTGTCTCTCTACAGTCGAAGTCACTGTCCCAAAGCACGATGGACACAGCCATGCCATGAAAGTTCGGCCAGCGTTCAATTTACCGACCTTTGAGTACCCCAATATACGTCGCCAACAGCAATCTCCTCCTGGAGTCTCCAAGGTCCGGCCGTTTGACCCAGCCAAGGAACATTTGTTGCCCGAAGGGGATATCAATGGACCGACAGAAATCGAAATCCAAGAGAGCAAGGACAAGCTAACCAATATACCGGTCTCCAAAGTCCGACCCTTTGCCCAGGAACCCCCTGAGCTGAATCATCATGCTGGACATCAAAGAGTGTCAAAAGTTCGGCCCTTCAGTGACGAATCTGATAACGGCAACCAAAAAGACGAGGATGCCTATTTTGCTGTCGGATCAGATGAGTCGGCAACCGAGGGGCCCGGCAGAGTCACTAAGCCACGTTTGGAGAGTACAACTCGCTCCCGAGCAAGCACTATAGACTACAAGCGAACTGCTCAGTGGCTCCGGCATCTACTGAAGAATCCCGAATCTCATACGGCCAAGTTGACGGAAAGACCATCCAAGGCAAAAAGAGCGTCCTATGCTTCTTTGAAGAACTCTCAGGAACAAAGTCCAGTGTCGCGGAAGATGACCCGTCAACCGACGCTTCCAACTACCGAAGTTGAGCAGAATTTCTTCCAAAGCACTTTCGGGGAGCTAGAACGTCTCCTTCAAGAAGCTTTGGCACTGGCTTCTCGGGTTGCTGACGACGAAGAGGCAAAATCTCCAGAGGCTATACAATCTCCGCATGCTGTCTCAAAGGAAGCGGCACCCTATGATTACGCCTCTCAGTTCTCTGACATCGACTTGGATGATGACGGTAAAGCAAAAGGACCACAAAACAAACGCGCTGCTACGTTTCCACATTCCGGGCGGCCTGAAATCCGTGCGGTAGACAATCTCTACCGTACTATTTCTCTCACTCCGCAGACCGTAGAGCTCGAGAGCATGCTTGGTCGTAAGAAGAGTTCAGTTGTCAAGAAAACCAAACGTAGACGCAAATCGCGATCCCGGCAAGCTGGACCTGTGCCAGACAGAGTTTCGAGCAGGAAGAGAAACAAGGGCGTAAAGAAACCGAAGCGCACAAAGCCGAAGCAGATTGTCGAGCAACCTCCGACAGATTCAGAGTCTAGCATGGACGGATCCAATGACTCCTCTGCAGTCAACTTCCCGACTCGAAATCAAGCTCAAGGAAGCAGCGAGCCAACTCGACCTCGAGCAAGCACGAAACGGGTACCCTTCTTATCCCGCAACACAGGCGAGGACAATCTTCCTCAGGAGGACTTGGGCGGCCGTCCGATCCGCAATCCACGAGGGATCAGCCTACGAGGCAAGTCTCATGTCAGTCTCCGTGGTGTACAAGCATTCAGTCTAGCCAAGTCGAAACGTCGTCAACCCATTGCTCGGGACTGGTCACCAGTCCGAAAGAGAGCCATTGCGGCTGTGGCTTGCATCAGTACGGCCCTGATCGGTATGATTGTCGGTATCTATGCCGGCCTAGTACCCTCACTGCAATACTACATCCTAGACACAAGCCACTCGATCATCAACGGCAATGTGGGCTGCTTTCTTGGGATGGCAATTCCCACATTCTTTTGCTGGCCACTTCCTCTGGTTCATGGGCGCAAGCCATACATCACGACTGGGCTGATTCTATCCATGCCACTTCTTTTCCCTCAGGCTTTGGCTGTCAGCGCTCAAAGATTTTACAGCCTCACTGGATAGAGAAT